TAACTTTTATCATGATTTTAAGTTGATAATTTATTAGATCAATCTATTGCTTTGGACTTACAGCGTTACAAATGATATTAGAGCTAATCTTGTATCATCGCGACGGTGGAGCAAACCTTATGAGACATACAACTTGTACTTTTTCCAACTACATTTTCACATATTATTTTATTTATCATGTTTTGGCATTTATGATAAATATGGGTTTATATTCTATATTGAGTAATTAAATATATAATAATATTTGAAAATTGAAATTGAAAACTCACATTTTTAAACATACATATCTTGCACGCCATTGTTAACTACAAGATATTATTTTGTAATAAAATTTCCATAAATTTTTCGAAATTAATAAAATATACAGTTACAGATGAAAAATAATATTTTATTATTTCCGAAAATAAACGTTTTTGCAATTAAATGTCTAGAATAAAAGCATAATATTTTAAATTTTTAATAATATAATTAAGAGTAAAGTTTAATATTGGTCCCTAACATTTATAATTTTCAACATATATCATCCCTAAACCTTAGAAGCTCTGATTTAGTCCTTCATATTTGTCAATTTTCAACAGTTTTGGTTATTTTGTCTAACGATTTCGTTAAAATTTTCTGTTAAGTTTAATTAAATAAAAAGTGTTTCAATCATTTTCACTATTTTCTTAAATTTATATTAGAATTAAAAATATAATATGCTTTAATTTTAATATAAAGTTAATAAATATAGTAAAAAGTGACTAAAATGCCCCTCGGTTACTTGGACTTAACGAAAAAGTTAACGACTAACCGTTAAAGAGAGAAACCAAAATCGTTGGGTGTTACAAACTGTGAGGGACCAAATACGATTTCAGTGATATCTGTTGAAAATTACAAACATTGGAGACCTAAATTGAACTTACTCTATAATGAATATAAGGGGTGTACAAAAAAACAATCAAATCGCTCAACTCGTCTAACCCAACCAGCTAACAACTCAATTAAATCCAACCTGTTAAACCGTCAATTAAGAGGGTTGAAATTGGGTTGACCTAGTTCAATCCAATCCAACCCGCTATATAACTTTGGTAACACTTTATTGATATTTTTATACACAATATACTAGTCCGTTATATTATATTACATGGGTTGAGTTCTGGTGAAAAAAAGAGTTGATATGAAAAGAATGAGAATGATCTCCACCATTGGATGCACATTATGATGAGATACACCATGATGCACCAGATCAATCCCCATATCAAACAGATTCATAGATAGGTTTGAGATTAAAGATTATCAAGAGTACAGACCCCTTCTTAGGATTCTCAACTTAACTATTCTTCTCACACGATCATTCATATATATATATATATATATATATATAAAGTGTAAAATTTTATATAATGTTTGTTGAGTTTATGTTCGTATTTCTTTTTAGTTAAATGTATAGGTTACCAAAAGGAATTCACCACCAAAGAATGATGATGTCAAATAATCTAATAGAAGAAGTTTGTTGAAATTGTTTCTGCAACAACGACAAAAAGATATGAATGATGCTGATAGATATTTGGTTGACGAATCTATCAATCCAAAAACTATTTCATTTTATATATGTTGTATTTTGGTAGAAACAATATGCTAATAGTTAGATCATATCAGTACAAGAATGTTAGGTTTACATGATGTTTAAAATGTCTAAGCATCACAATATGGTACTTTTTAGAACGAAACAAAAAAGTGTTTTGTCTAAAAGTGTTACAATATGTTTATAAGATGATTTTGGGCGTCTTAACAAATTTTTGGATGCTTTTAAAATAAAGTGTTATACTAGTTATTTTATTCGAAAAAATTTAGAAAGTGTCATATGAATATAAATATCATATACACAGATGAGTTTACGGGACATTTTTCAAAATGTTACTATAAAATAATTAATACGATATTTTATATAAAAAATATTCTTAAAAACTTATTGAAACGTCCAACAACGTCATATAAACCTATTATAATATTTTTGGATAAGATGTTTTATAGTTCGATTCTATAACAATCTTATGAAGTATTTCATTCGTCAAATTTATGTAAGTTCTAATCCGTCAACCTAACTCAACCCAACCCACTCGCCTTATCCCACAAGGGTTGGGTTATACTTTTGAAAATGTTGTGTTGCGTTGAGATTTTTCCAAACCGTCATAATTAGGTTGAGTTGTAAAATGTTGTAAACTGCTCAACCCAACCCGTACACACCTCTAATGAATATTGTAACATCTAAAATGTACATTTGTGGAGTCGTTTAAATATGTTGAATTTTAAATATATTGGATTCTAAACTGTTATACCGTTTTTTTTTACCGATAGACTGTAATTGGAATCATAACTATTATTTATTCAAATTGTATTAATATGTAAAGACCACGTGTAATTTATATCATCGTTAAATCTTCTCTAATAAAACCAGTGAAACTTCAAAATAATTAAAATTCACGGTTCCCGACGCATTGCACGGATATACAACTAGTCCAAAATAAAAGACATTCAATCAAAATAAATATTTTAATAAATTAATCCATTATTATAAAACGATAAAAGGTAAGCTACAAATAGACGTAACCCATAAGAAATTAAGAACATATAAAAATGACAGATTAGATATCTCATACAAGAACTATTTAATCTCATTTGCTTTTTAATTCATAAACATATGTAGTTTTCAGAATCGACATTTTAAGTTTTATACTCGACAAATTATTTAAATACTAATTAAATATATAAAAATAATAAAATATTACTTATCTAGAATATTTTATATCTTGTAATACAATTCAAAACAAAAAATATATATTTTAATCGTTTCTTTAGTTAATAACTAGAAGAGTATTCGCACAATGCAACAAGATACATCTCGATTTTAATGTTTTATTTTATTCTTTGTCTTTGTCGATGTTATAATACGATTTTATGTGTTTTTAAGAAAGCGATAATGATTTTATTTTTGAATAAAATAAAATTTTGAAGATATCATAAAAATTTTAAAAAAATATATCAATGTTAGTATCAAATCAACTATTTAAAATTCTATTTTTATTATAATTTAGTTTAAGTTTAATAATGAAATAATTTATTTTTGGTTTAATAATATAACATTTTATAAAGATAATAATTAAATATTCTATTATAACTCAATGATAATCTTAATTATATTTAGATTTTTTATATTTAAAAATAAGATATTTATCTTGTATTTGATTATGTTTATCTGCACTTAGTTACATGATTCAGATATTGAGTTTTAATAAGTTGTACTTACACACAATCTACTTGTAATCTTGAGTTTTAAATAATATGCATTAATAATATAAATTTGAAGGTATCATACAATTTTGGAAAAAAATTGTATGGATTTTAATGTCAAATTAAATATTTAAATTCTTTTATTTTTTTGTGTAATTTTTTAATTTAAATTTTTATTTAGATTTAATAATTAGTATTTTGTTAGAGTTCAATGATTATCTTAAATATCTATATCTATACTATATTATAAAACATTTGAGAAAAACTCTTAAAAACTATTTTTATGCATGAAGTACTGTATATTGATACATATTACTTAATATTCAATATTACAAGTAAATTATGCATAAATATAACTTATTAAAGCTCCATGTTTGAATTCGTGTAACTAACTGCGGATAAACATAATCAAATAGATAATAAACATCTCATTTTAAAATCTAAAATATAATTAGGATAATTATCGAGTTCTAACGAAATAATTAATTATTATCTTTATAAGAAAATTGTATTATTAAACCTAATATAAATTACTTCGTTATTGAACCTAAACGAAATAATTAATTATTATATTTATAAGAAAATTGTATTATTAAATCTAATATAAATTATTTCGTTATTAAACCTAAATTAAATTATAATAAAAAAATTGAATTAAAAAATTATACACAAAAAAAAAAAGAATTTTAAATAGTTAATTTGATAATAATATCGATATATTTTTGTCAAATTTTTATGATATTTTCAAATTTATATTTTATTCAAAAATAAAAACATTATCGCTTTTTCAAAATCACATAAGATGATTCTATAACATCGACAAAAATAAAAAGTAAAATGACATATTAAAATCAAGATGTATATTGCTGCATTGTATAAATATCTTATAATATTTTTAAATGTAGAAGTTTGAACACAAAATTAAAGTAACAACACATGAAAGCGTTGAAAATCATATGGATCAAGTGTGGACTCCAAATTTATATCGTTGCAGACACCCACCCACACTAATAATGCTAACTTCCTCTCCCCACTCTTCACTTCTCCGCCACTCTATATATTCCTTTCATACCCACGTTAATTCCGCCATTACTCTTCCCTTCTATCAAACACACAATTTCATGGACTAGGCTTCAATCACTCCAGCTTTTCAGGTATGAATCTGAGTTATTCGAATCAAAACCTCCAATTTTTACATATCTACTTTGAATGCGCACATTTTGATTTCAAAATTTCATATTTACCGTTATTGCTAATTGTTGCTTGTACGCAATACAATGATTTCAGGATTTTTCTTTTTTGTTATTTGAGAGATTATTGATCGTGATGGAAAATAGTTTGATTTTAATGGTTTCCTGGAGCAATTGGTTTGGTTGAAGACATTTTCTGGGAATTTGGATGACGCAGTTGTGTATAACTAGATTTAATTCAGTGTTCCTGCTGTTTGGTGTTTAGTGCTAAGCTTAATGTTTTGTCTGGTTTTTGGTGACTTCATGCTGTTGCTTATTTTGAAGTAGATAGATTTGGGGAATATATACAAATGTGTTTAAGATATGATATATAGATTCAGATGGAATGCTTAATTGGTACTGATTAGTTCAAGTAAATAACGATTTGAAGGTGATTTATATCAAGTTGACATTGGTTTTATGACCTTTTCTATTATAAGTAATTTTTTACTCCTATTTTGTTATCTTCAGTGAAGAAATTACCTTGAGAGTACTAGGTTGTGGTCTACGTTGTTATTGGAATTGTGATGGAGTTCTTTCGAGCTCTCATCCAGCGACAGCGTGCAATTGCATGGTTTTGGGTGTTATTACTAGTTTTTGCACATAACGGGAAAAAGACCATCTCAGCTTCCAATTATTTGGTTGGGCTTGGAAGCTATGATATTACAGGGCCTGCAGCTGATGTCAACATGATGGGATATGCCAACTCAGATCAAACTGCATCCGGCATTCACTTTCGATTGCGAGCACGTTCATTTATTGTGGCGGAGCCACAGGGAAACCGTGTGGTATTTGTAAATCTTGATGCCTGCATGGCCTCACAACTTGTAACAATCAAAGTCCTAGAAAGGTTGAAGGCAAGGTACTTTTCTGATGAGTTCTTTGTATGTATGTAGTGGACAAGACCGTTATTTATTCTCTTTCAACTCTTTTCAGTTTTGGGGCCCAACAGAGTTGGGAATTGGTACTAGATGGAAACATCATTGTTGAATAAAACATATAGAAGCCAAATACTGATCTCTCGACTCATCGATAGTCTTTGATATGCTTCCATTCTTTATATAGATATATAATTTGTGCATGTATATATGTATTACAATAGCATGTCTGGGCAACCCTACGGTAATTGTTTTTTTTTAAGTATATAATATTTCCTACGGTAATTGTTTATGTTAGTAAAATGTCCGTTTCCACCCATAAATGTAAATGTTATCTGAAACCAAACATTAACATTTTGAATGCATTAATTATATACTTCATCCGTCCCAAAATAAGTCTCCACATTTCTATTTTAGTTTGTCCCAAAATAATTGCCTTTCAAATGTAATGGCCAAGTTATTGAGAATGACATGTGTAAACATTGGCCAAGTTATTGTCTCTAGTGGAGCAGCTAAGCCATCTTCTTGTTTTCTTTATAGGTACGGAAATTTATATACAGAAAAGAATGTTGCGATTAGTGGTATACATACCCATGCAGGCCCTGGAGGTTATTTGCAGTATGTAGTGTATATTGTTACATCTCTGGGATTCGTGCGGCAGTCGTTTGATGTAATAGTTGATGGCATTGAGCAAAGCATCATGCGTGCTCATGAAAACCTTCGTGCTGGATCAGTATATGTGAACAAAGGTAACACACCTTTCTTACAAAAATATTTTGAGGTTGTTACCATTATAAAGTGGTTTATGGAGGTCATGCCTCAAATGTTGATAAAGCTATGTGTGCCTTGTGTACCACATTTCTAAGATAATATAGTGGCTTATGTGATAAGGGATGTCTAGAAGTTTTCATGATTGAAAACTGGTTATTAAAATTACTTGGTCTGCATTCCATGACTTTGACACTTTATTTTATTTTATAAAATTCTAACGAGCATCTTAGCACAAGAAGTGTGCAACTATAGATCTAACAAGCATTTTCTGCATGAAAGTGTTTTAAACTGATGGTGAACAATTTTAGTGTGATTTTCTTGCTGAATATACCCTCTCTCATCATATTGTGGAAAAACCAATCTAAACAGCATCATACATTTCCATAAATATTTTTTTGTTCCATCTCTTGTAAAGAATTTATCTTTGGTAAGTTTCTTTTTTCCAAGAAACATAGATAAATGCAGCAAGTTTGTATTCTATTGTGTATGCTATAGTTATTTGACTATGAATCTCATCATTGTCTGATACATGTTAGACCTTGGTAGAGAGAGTTTCATAAGTTACACGATTGAATATTGGTTCTCTTGCATAGGAGCCTTTTGTATTCGTTCCGAAGAATTGCTTGTTAAATATACAGAGTGAGTGATAGGAAAGTGTGCATGGAAACTTACTGCTAGTGCATTCAGTTTTACTTCTTAATAAATTTTGGCCTTACAACTTGCAGGAGAGATCTTAGACGCTGGTGTCAATCGCAGCCCTAGCTCTTATCTTAATAATCCTGCAGCAGAACGCTCCAAGTACAAATATGATGTGGATAAAGAAATAACTCTTTTGAAGTTTGTAGATGATCAATGGGGCCCAGTAGGTGCTTTTAACTGGTTTGCCACTCATGGAACTTCAATGAGTCGTACAAATGAGTTGATCAGTGGGGACAATAAAGGAACTGCTGCACGCCTCATGGAAGATTGGTTCGATCAGAAAAGTGTTGGAGGAATTGCTAATGAAATCCCACGCAGAGTCTCCAACATTGTTCCGGGTACCCAAGGAAACCGTAAGTTCATTGCACTCTACAAGGAATAGTTCTGTTGAATTGATAGATCTCTAGTAAAATTCGTTTGCCTTTAGAATCATTGACTGTCCCTTGATATTCAGTGCACATAAATCTATCAACTGTGCATAAACTGCGTTTTGAGTTGATTTGGAAAGTGAGACAATTAGTTATGTTGTACTATCAGTGCCATACAGCAGAAAACAAAGAGAGGCAGGAATGGAATGAGCTCTCCTAAAGCATAAATATACCAGCATGTAACCCTTTTTGTGAAGAAACCTGTCTTGGCCTACTCAATTATTTACAAGAAATCAATGGTGCCATAGTGATCTGTAAATCTTTTTCCTGGTGTTGCTTTCTATCATGAAAAATTTCTTATTCCTCTTGGTTTTTATAGATAACCATAAGATCAATGGGTGGCTGAGTTCCAGTTCATTTTTTTCTGCTAATTTCCCCTCTTTGAGAGATTACAAGATTGATCTCTTTTGAAGGAGAAACTTAGATTATTACTAAATTCTGGTGATATTTTTGATGCAGACCATGAGTTGCTCGAACTTGCCTCTTCTTTTCACTCTGCTTCAGGTAAACCAGTAACCAGGTACTTGAGCATAGCAGGACGGGTTAGGAGTTCTCTTAGGTCTGCAGATAGGCCCAAATTTGTATCCGCATTTTGCCAATCTAATTGTGGTGATGTGAGCCCAAATGTGCTTGGAGCATTCTGCACAGATACTGGGCTACCCTGTGACTTTAATCATAGTACTTGTGGTGGGAAGAATGAGTTATGTTATGGCCGAGGACCAGGGTTTGTATTCTTCTTTTAACTATGCATTGTAATTATTCTATAGCTTACACCTGAACTTTGGTTAAATATTGATTCACTTGTAATTAATGAACAGCTACCCAGATGAATTTGAAAGCACACGTATTATTGGAGAGAGACAATTCAAAAAAGCTACTGAACTTTTCAACAGTGCTTCTCAGAAGTTGAATGGAAAGATTGATTTTCGTCACACTTATTTGGACTTCTCACAACTTGAGGTTACGCTTCCTAAACAAGGAGGAGGGAGTGAGACTGTTAAAACATGCCCTGCTGCAATGGGATTTGCATTTGCGGCTGGTACCACTGATGGACCTGGGGCTTTTGACTTTAAGCAAGGAGACGACTCTGTAAGTGAAAGATCATGCTTCTGTAGGTTTAATCCTGATAAGGTTGATATATTTTGTTGACATTCCTTTTTATTTTTTTTCACAATCAGGGGAATGCATTTTGGAAGTTGGTGCGGAATGTGCTCAAAACCCCAAGTAAGGAGCAAACAGACTGTCAACAGCCAAAACCTATCCTGCTTGATACTGGGGAAATGAAGCAACCATATGACTGGGCGGTAAGTGGCATATTTGTTTCGACAATCTTTTAGTTCATAGAACTTAATTTAAATAACCGTGACAAATTTTGTCCTATTAAACAGAAAACAAGTCATGCTCCATAAAATTTGTTGAATCTTCCGTTTTTACGTCTTCAATAATGTCTTAATTATGCTCCCTCATTACCATCAAAATTGCAGCATTTCCTTTATTTGGCAAAATTTCTTGTTAGAATTATCTGTTTGCCTGTTGTCATCGTTACTGCTTATTGATGCTATTGATTTCGATCTGTAAGTTTTCTTTTGTCACTGTTGAATGGCATTTAAGTTATTTGACTCAATAGTCAAATAATTTCATATAACTATTTTCTTGGTCGAGCCTTACCCTTTGATGGGACTAGGGAGCATGATTTAGAGGCACAAGGGTGAGTTTTATAAGAACAGAAGATTGAACTGGAAGCAAAGATATGGATTACCAAACTGCAATGCCAAATTAATTTAACATATTGATAAAATTTTTGAAGGTAGGTGGATTTCATGAACACCATAGCAAAAAATGTTGTCCTTTTTCAGAATCACAGTTAACCAACTCAACCAAAAAGCATGCCATCTTGTAAATAAAATTGAGCAACACTTCTAAGTAGTTTGATAGGTTTTTTGACTGCTGTTTACTGTTTAAATTCAATTGCTAGCTGAATTCTTGTCAGATTTAAATGGGCCATGGTTTGTTCAAGTGAATTTTGGAATATAAAAGACATTAAAGCTGAGCAACTCTTTGGTTCGCTTAGGTTCATTAATTCTTTTGTGCTGCTTAATTTAATTAGCTGCAATTATTTTCTTAAAAGTTAACAACCATGGTTCACTATAGCAATCTCAAAGCATGTAATAGTGGGTGTCTCTGAATTTGTACAGGGTAAAATCCAATTAGCTATTAGAATCAAATATGTTATATCCAATTCCACCCATAAATCAACAACGTTTTGATCCTAAAGCAATACACTAATGGCCATAGATGATTGGTTGATCAGCAGGCCAAGGCATGACAACCGGCTTTATTCATAATCTTGCATTATATTTTACATACATAGGCTCACCAAAATCTAGCACTATTGTTTTTCTCGCATAACAGAAACTTTTCTTTATTATGCTCCACAGCCATCAATTCTCCCAATTCAAATACTAAAGATAGGGCAGTTGGTGATTCTCAGTGTTCCTGGAGGTATCTTTTTTGTCATCTCTTTTACATACAATGTATCTGTAGACTAGGATTTGTTAATTGCTTGTCCATTTTGGCATACTCTATAACATACTTGTCATGGAAAATTATGGCGTAATCTTTTGTTGTTCTTTATGAAGAAGACTACAAGAGTGGACATAAATTTTTGTTACTTGACTCCACATTTTAAATGTAAGGAAATCAGTGGCGAAAGCTTAACAATATTTCCATGCTACGCTGTAATTTCTTAGCTGCATGACGTTGAAAACTAGTAATTGCCCGAGCACTATTTGTTTTGATCCTTTAGGGTGTGTTTGGTATGCATATTGTACCGGACATGATTGGACGGGCAAGATTGATGTAGGCGATTGAAAGAATTTTGGAGGTTTTAGGCTTTTAATTTAACATGGTAAGTTTAGTAATATACCAATTTTGTCCCATCATTCTAATTTTTGTTCCACCAATTTTGGTGGGACAGAAAAAATATATTTTATCACTCGGGGCCTGTCTTGTCTAGATCTAATGTCGTGCCAAACATGGGACAACAAGTTTTTGTCCTGTCTCATGTGCCAAACACACCCTTTATATCTTCATTTTGGGGTCTCACGTGTATAATGTGACTGCGCGTTTCCATTTACTTGATGTGTAGAGAAAATAAATAAGGGACTAAAATGATATAATCGAATAGAACGAAAGTTCTTTTATGTGCTTTCACTCCCTTTCTTCATCCACTTGCTTTCATGTCTTCAATTCTAATTTTTTGCAACTTCTGCTTGTATGTCGGTAGACTAACATGGTTCATGAATGACAGAATTCACAACTATGGCCGGGAGGCGTCTCCGTGATGCTGTTGGTGCTGTTTTTAAAGAAAAGGTCCAGGTTGTGATAGCAGGTCTGACTAATACCTACTCTCAATATGTTACTACCCTTGAGGAGTACAAGATGCAAAGATACGAGGTAAGTTAAATTGATACTTTCTTCGATAAATGGCCATGAATCCTACATGCCATAAGTTTCATCTACACACATATCTGCTTTCAAATGGAATATACTGAGTTCGTTTGATTTGATTTACATATGGGCACCAAGTGCGGGTGTGGTTTTCTGGGAAAAATATCTCATGTTCCCACTCTATCCACCAATCATGTGAAAGCATTACGTAATTGGTGGGATATGGAGGGTACATGGGATTTGGGGATTCGTTTCCTGGCCTTCAGGAAACGTCCACGAGTTATGCTAAATGTTCGTACTTCTTGAACCATTTTGTCATCAGGGAGCTTCGACTCTTTACGGTCCACATACTCTCAGTGCCTACATTCAGGAGTTCACAAAGCTCGCTACAGCCATTGTCTCTGGAAAGCCTGTCGAAGCAGGTCCACAACCACCGGATCTATTAAACAAGCAGATAAGCCTGCTAGCACCTGTGGTGGTGGACTCCACCCCATTGGGTGTCGGCTTTGGGGATGTCAGTACTAACATCCCTCGTAATTCCACTTTCAAGAAAGGTGACACTGTGAGCGTTGTTTTTTGGTCGGCATGTCCTCGAAATGATCTCATGACCGAAGGCACGTTCGCTCTAGTGGAGTTGCTTCAGGGACAAGACACGTGGGTCCCGGCCTACGATGACGATGATATCTGCCTTCGTTTCAAGTGGTCAAGGCCTTCGAAACTCAGTGCTCAGAGTCATGCCACTATAGAATGGCGAGTCCCACAATCGGCGGTGCCCGGGGTTTACCGAGTGAGTCATTTTGGTGCATCGAAGAGTCTGTTCGGATCGATTAGCCATTTTACGGGGTCATCAAATGCTTTTGTGGTCAAATAATTCTTAGGCTATTTGAAGTCGTTTGGGAAGCATAAATTCATTGTACAAGGACGAATGTATCATGTAATTTATGTGTTTATACAACAGCCATATTAGATATATCAAAAAACATTTCCACTTTTATCTTCCAACCATATATAAAATATAAAGAATGCTATAATACGACTGTTAACATTTAATTAGTTTATATGTGAATTATATAGGTTTATACGTGAATCAGTTAATTAGTTTATATTTGAATTACACAAGTTCACATATGAGCATATAGTTCATATATGAATCACACGGATTCACATATGTAATTGTTTTGCCATCTATTTGTAAAAGTTACGAAACTACCCTTCTGTCTTTCGCATATCATGCAAGAAATTATCCGGTGTTTCACAGCCAAAGCCGCAAATCTTGATCATATGAAAGGCTAGAATCAGTTCTCTATTTCTCAAATACTTACCACTTTTCAAATGAACATCTGACTATTTAATTATTAACTAAAATACGTTAAAAATAAGTTTTTTTACAAATTACACCGTTAGAAAAGTGTCATCGATACTTCAAAAAGAAGTCCATATTGAAGGGTTCAAAGAAGCAAATTGTAACCGATACCCGTCATATCGCAAAAAAGAGCTCGTCCTTTTCACTATTTGTGGAACATTTGTGCATTTGTTTGAGGTGGCTACAGTTTAAAAATTGATTGTTAATAAACATCTTTTATCTGATAAAAATTTACTGAATAAGAATCTTTTCGCTCATTTCTCATATAAGATTCTCGGTTCTTCATTTCCATGAAATTTCATTCTCTTTTCTTAATATTCATCAAACATAATAGCTTTTTATTTTTTAAACTAAAATATAACACCACATTTTTTAAATCTAAAATACTTAAATTAAAATAAAATCTATAACTATACACAAAAATCCATTATCTTGAGCAAAGAAAACCAAGAATTATATACAAAATTTAAGTTTAAAACATCATTAACTGTTATTTGATATTTCATATATAAAAATTTCTATTCTTTCTGATATGTTCTTTTCACCATTTGTTATATAAAACAACACACGATGTAACTGCTATTAAAAAATGTGTTATATTAATATTATATATATATAGAGCAATTATTTATACTTAAACCAACTAAATATTAAATCAACAATTTTTGGTGTATTAGTTTGCAATTAATACACAATATTTTTCGAAAAAAATATAATTTTTTTTTACTGTAACACCCTGGTCTACATTTGTTAGATTTCAAAGTTTTAAGCTTTGAATACAATATTATGATCAAATTAAGTGCTCTAAAAAAGGCTCGTAACATCTTTGAAACCATCATATTTTCAATGTAAGTAGTTTATAAGGCAAAACAAATCTAGTAAGCATGACAAAGTAAGTTAGTTAGGAGTTGTCAAGCCTAGAAGCATGTGCTTGAAAATGAGAAATCAACCTATATAACGACATTGACTATCTTTTTTTTTTTTTTAATAATATAGCCACCTTTTTTTCTTTTTCCAAAAAATTTCCGGAATCCTACAAGACTAACACCGCGAGCCACTTTTTGCTTGCGGTGTCAGACTTTTCTGACATATTCGATAGAAAAAGAAAATTACATTTTCCCAATGCAAAATTTACGAACGCCGCAAGCAATTTTCTTTTTCCATAGAATATGTTAGAAAAAGTCGGACACCGCAAGCAAAAGGTGGCTTGCGGTGTCAGCCTTGCAGGTCAATGGACAAAATTGAAAATAAATAGATTTGATGGCTATTTAAAAAAAAAAGGTAATCCAAGATGACTATTTTGATTAACTACTCGTTGGCAAAGCTATTAATGACAAAACAAAGTCTAGTAAACATGACAATTAAAAACTAGAAGCATGATGTGTCAAGATTCTTTTATCTTAAGTATGAGGTGGCAAACTCTCATAAGCGTACAACCTAAACACAAGAAGAACAAATAGTTAATACATTGTAATCACCTATAAATAGTGGTTAAACTAAAACCATTATTTCCATAATAAAGTAAGAAAACACTGTCAATACAATATCAAGTTCAAAGTGAGAAATCAATTCAAAAGCTAAACGCAAAGCAAGGTGAGTATGTTATGAGTTTTATTGAGATACATATATGTTATATAAATGTATCTTGTGCATTATGAAGAATTTGATAAGATGTTCTGACATGTTCATATTACATGTAAATGATGATACGTTTATATAGCCAAGATATATATATATCTGATGGCATGTTATGATGTGTTTTACATATAAGACATTAAAGTTATATACATGCCAAGTATGACTACAAAATATCCAACGTGTAAGATGGGACGTCTCGAAAACAAACCTAATGGGGCAGCCTTTATTAGCAAACCTCAAGACAGGTATGACATACTTGCATGTCACAAGTAAGATCTCAAAAAGAGTATTGTTACACATGATAAAGAGTTTTAATGAATTATTTATTCACAAATGAATAAGTGTCATGAAATTTATTTATTTATGAAACCATAACTATTCACTAAAATTTTCAACTTACATATTTCATGCATGTATATGAGGAAAGAAGTAGAAAGTATTAACATAAAGTAGTATATTTCTAATCAATAAGGGTGGTGCCTGATTGGTTTGAGCTTGACTCCAAAGGTCAAAAGTACCAGAAGATCTCAGGTTCAAATCCAAGAAGAAATAAAAATCCCCTTATAGCCACGGAGGTTCAAATGCAGTCACTCCGAGCTATCTGCAAAGCAGGTGGTCGTCCTGGGATTGTCAGCTCGCATAACGGGTTGGATATCTAGGTTAATCAAAAAAAAAGTTGTATTATAAGCTATTGAGTTACATTTCTGCTAGTGTTTGAACTCTGATATGGTCGTAAATTACGAAGAAAATATTCAGTTGCATACAAGACTTAATAGTATCAAAAGAAAGTAACGACACCCATTTAGGATTTAGGGTGTTACATTTGCATATAACTAGATATGAAAATTTGACCCATAGAGACGAGATCCCTAGATTTGGCTGGTAACCAGGATTTATTTTCATACACGAAACGGGCTCAAGACAGGGTCAAGATGATATTACCCACCCCTAACCAACCCGATTAAATTTTATTTAACATATGTATAATAAAATATATAAGTAAACATTTATTACTGATTGACAAATACATTTGATTTTTAATATTGGTAATTAATATAGTAACAATTCATTATAATTTTAAAATAAATTGTTTTTATGGTTATTTTACTCAACGGGTCGAACCCGTAGGTGAAATTACCTGAACCCATCAAGGATTAGTCAGGACGGGGTCAGAGATGGGGGCTTACACGGGGATGCATTATCGACCCTGTTACTATCCCTACAAATAACTTTGATGCCAAAAGCCATGAAACCGAACAATTATCAGTCTTTGCCATGTTACCATTTACCAATGACCATGCATCACAGATTTGGAAAGAAGAAAAATTGTGACAACTACAACAATGTACCTTAAACTAAAGTGTCTTTGGTAAACAACTAACAAATCTTGTAAGATCCATCAAGATTTGTTGTCCTCTTCATCTTCTTCTATCTTAGGAGCCAAATAGAATCTGATATACCCCATTTCAGCTATCTTGTACTCCACCACCACAGGAAGCTCAGAAGATAAGCTGATTGTCACCGTACTCGACAATGGAGTTGCCTTTGTAAATGAGTTCATGTACCTCAATGCAAATGTCAAAGATACTGGTTCGTTCATCTCAATGATTGTCGCTTCCTCTGGCTACATTTACATCAAACACATATTTGTAACCCCAATTTCCATTTCAATATCTCTCATGTCACTTGGGATGATCTAATTGACAATTTTTAAAACTTACTACCTGCTTACCGCCTCTTACCCGGTAAGAGGTGCTTACCGGGTAAGAAAGAATGTTGTTTACCAACACACTTTGACCCACAAATATGTTGACCAAGATGCTGACCCAATAAGAAAGGGGTTGCTTTCTGACTCGGTCACTTGGCAAACAACCATTTTCAGTCAAAGCTTACTTGGTTACCCAATTTTTGTTGGTAAACGTCCCCTAAAGCTATTTAAAATGTCCGTTGATGAATAGTGTAATGTTGTCATCTACTGGTATTAACTGACTGACTATTAGTAAAGCATCTCTGTTAAAGCTAAAAATGGAGTCGTTTTATGAGATTGGGGAAGTAGTATATACCTTATCTACAGTGGTGTTCTGCCTACAAACAACATTTGCAGTTCCGATATCACCTCTTGTTGAGAATTTCACACCTTCTTTGGTCACAGAAATTACAACTACAAGCAACAAACAACCCCTATAATTTATATTTTTTCTATAAAATCAGGGAATCACAAGGAAAGCAAACCAATTGATTATATCCAGTAAGGAAGTACCTGTATCACCAATACTGCTGAGATCTTTGCAAATCCTTGCAAACTCAGATGAAGGCATCCGGACAATGGCATGGTACTCTGCTTCAGGAATTCCAAGGTGCTCGCTATCAATATCCATGAGTTTCATCTCAAAATCAGCAATCTTATCTTGAGCTGCAGAAAAGAGACCAATAATTACAAACTGTAGTACAGAAGCATGAATTTCCAACATCTACCAGATAATATGTCCAGCGGATGATAAAAGTTGAGCTTAAGAAGATATTACAATACACGGATTGCAAAGTCTAACAAGATGTGGCTAGATGAGAGTCCATGAAATGTTTAGACCATCATACATTCTTGCTGGGAGCTGGGTGGAATCAGATCAAGGTTGACATGGTACAACTTATACTAACAAAATTTTTGGAGGCCCTGTTACACTTACACCTGTAGCAAGGCAATAGTGCAACATGACGAGTAATAAATAAAACAAAATATAGAAGTTCATACCATATATTATATTAAAGATCTTACTAAAACAACAAAAAGTCTTAAAATGATAAAGTAACATGAAATTCGCTATAAATAAAATCATTCTCCTACAACACTATAATTTGGCTAAAAAATGTATAACTGGCTACATAATTTTTTTTTTTTTTTTGAGTAAAGGCTAAACATTTATAATTTGGCCCCAAAAAATCTGAGGGTCCTCTTCCATATCTCACATAAGAACACCCCCGTCCCTCAAGAACGGTTTACTTATCCACCAACAAAGACATCAGATAAACCCTAATAACAAAACATTACAACATAATGTTGAGTTGAACTTTTTTGTCACAAGAGTTCTATACAATTTGTTAATTCTTTGTGCAGGGTAGAGAGGGCGATGTGCATGGACCGGGTGAGTAGGGATGCAGCTCCATGGGACACTCGACAAGCCTGATAGGTGGTGGTATCATTACCAAACTCTAAAATCTCAGATATGTTTCATTGTTTCTCTAAAGTACAGATCAAAAGCTTCAAACTTCAAACCCACGATTTCTTTCATTTCCCAGGTAAGATAAATCCTTATGGCAGATTCATCATTGGGGGAAAAGTCCATAAACAACCAAATGTATTTAGCTTCCAAAATCAGAACAGCCATCTTTCAGCTTGACAACCAAAATTTAGCATCTGTAAATTCAACTAAATTCATGTCTACACAAGAAAGCATGTGTGGGTGCAAATTTGATCAAAATCATCCTAATTGGCATGGATTAACTTACAAATATTGACAAAAATTTCTTATCAAACAGAGTACAAGTTATGACTATAATTTAAACGAATGCAAGCCATCAAAATGACATTGCTAGGCACAATTTAGACATTAAAGAACGTATAAGAGACAGACTTACTGGGACTTTCAAACATGAAAGTAACGGTGTCGCTACCATCGTCAGCCTTGATGGTGATGATGTCATCATTTCCGGCGCACTTTAGCATCTTGGTCATGTTACCGAGATTCATACCCATAGATAAGTTACGATCACATCGGTAGTGTTCGAAACCTTCCGATCTAAGAAGGAGCGACACCAGCGCCACGTGGCTGGAGTCCATCGCTTGAAGCGAAAACCCAGTGGCGGAGCAGTCAAAGTTAGCATCGTTGACCAGGTCCTTGATCGACTCCATCACCTTCTTCAGGAGACTCCCCTGAACTAGCCTGAGCTCCAACATTTCTCCGGCGACAGATGAACGGATGGCTGAACTGTAAAGTTGGCCTGTATGTATGTGGCTAAATCTACGATCTAGGGTTAGGGTTCAAAATACGCGGGGAAACCAAAAACAGGGGTTCGGATGTTAGGGTTTTGGGTTTTTATAGAAAGATTATTCCCGCCACATTTTCGGTGGGGAGGAGGTCTCATTGGGCTTTTGGGCCAGATATATTAATTGGACTACATGGGCCTACGCATTTAAGCGGGCCTTTTGAAGCCCAAAACCCAGGGCCGGGGTCTATTACTAAAACCCGGGGCAGAGGGTTATAAACCCGCCTTGTTGCCATGCCTAATCAAACAAGCTAGAGACTGATTGAAAATCGGTTCTTACTTGTCTTGGTTCCAGGTCCAGAGTAATTGGGCCTTTTGATCTGGGTCTCAATCTCGAGGCAAACACTAAGACTGATCTTACGCTTCGCAACTGATCTTGGTGTTTCATAATCAAGTCCAAAATTCAGCCTTGAGTCTGGTTCAATATCAAAAAAATATAAAAAAGGTTTACACAAAAATGTTAAACAAGTTTGTACAAATAGAGCCCGAATTGACGTGGGTCTGCACAAACGGTAGAGCATGTGGTTTAATTTGATGCAAAGTGAAGAAAATTGAGTATTAAAATACACATTAATTACTATATTTACTTGAAAAATCTTGAAAAACTAGTATTCTAATTTACAAAAATCTTAATATTACATTTGCTTGAAAAAAAAAAACAATTCCTATGCATAACCAGTCGCCAATGGACCCTAAAAATTTAATAGGAAAATGTAACCGGTCCCAAACTAACCGGCCTTAATTGATCTCTACTAGTCCCAGTTTCAGTCCTTTGATGGCCATCTCTTTAACAACCCAAGTCGGAAAAAGTAACGAACATTTTATTCTAAAATTATTAATAAAAATACTAATGAACATTTTTATTTTAAAATTATTAAGAGAAATACTAATTACACACATATATATAGGGCTTGGTTCAAATACTAATCAAGATTTTTGTGTTAACTTTGTTAACCAATCTTGGCCATTGATTATTACAATAAAGGGTTGTGATTAATCATGATAAAAATTAATTTTTTAAATTTACAATTTCAAAGAACATACGTGAACAAAGGGGAAAGGGGTATTTAGGTAATTTTCTTTTTTATGTAACTCCCATATCATTAATTGGGAGTTACAAAATAAAAAAATCTCATTATTTTTATTAATTTATTTTTGTTAATGTAAGAACCATATGAACACACACACACACACACACACACACACATATATATATATATATATATGAATCATTGTGTCAAATACGAACAAAAATTGATATATATATGAAATTGCACTGTATAGCATTTATGAACACAATATGAATATAATAAGAATAGTTGCTACACGAAAGTAAATATATAAAAAAACAGGTATGAACACAATATGAACAGTTTGTGAACAATAGTTCATTCATTATGAACACATTCAGGAGCAAACCAATGTTGAGATATGCAGCTAGTGTACAT